GCCCAACTCAATCCGAGCAGCTGAGTCCTTAGCCATCTTCAAGAATCGGCTAAAAACACATCTCTTCCATCTTTTTTTTGACCCTCTAACTCTAGCACTCTCAATTCTAATTCTATTCTTTAAAAAAAAAAACCTTGTCCCTTTTAGACTTACACTCTGTTAATTTACTGCTTGATTTCTTAAAAAAAAAACACTAGCTTTTCTAATCTTTTTGTATTCTATTTGTTTTCTTTTAATTTATTATACAATTAACAAAAGCAAAAAAGGCCTCTTGCTCTTTTGTTGATTTTGATTGCTTCCATTGTCCTCATTTGCAAGTCTCTTTGGATAAAAGCGTCTGCTAAATGACTTAATGTAAATGTAATTCACTAAAGCTTAATGGCGATAAATTAAACATTTGAAAAATTGCAGGTGATTTTTTACATTCTGTATAACTCAATGTATGTTTATTGCAATGTTATTAGTGTTATGTTTTAATTTGGGGGGGGGGGCAACTATGATATCACTCCCTTATGATCTAATATATAGAGTATATAATTTATACATATATTCGGGGGGAAATATGACATTTTATTTTGACACATTGGTATTTTAACAATAAAAAAAGTAAAAAAAAAATGTATTCTATGTAACTCACTAAAGCTTAATAGTGATAAATTAAACAAACATTTAAAAAAAAAAAAGTATTTACACTAAACCTGTATGTATCTATAATTAGGCATTGATGCACATACAGTGTCGCTCACAGATGACAGTGTTTCCTGCGAACAGCTCAGTGACGTGTGTGTGTTTCAGGATGATATGCTGGAGGACGCGCCTCTCTCCATGTACAGCTACTGAAAACCCAGATGTTCCTCAGACATCTTCAGAGCGCCCAACATCCTCTGATCAACACAACACAGACACAATTAAATGAGCTTCACAGAGGCACAAACACTCCTGTTGTTTCTGTTACAGGACTAAATGTAGCGTCATACTCCACTTTAGTTGTTAAATTCACCGTGGCCGTCAGTTGCTGTTCGTTGGGTTGTTTTCTTGCACTTTATGTGGGGTTTGGGAAGGTTGTGTGCTGCGGGGATATTTGGGAGCTGTTTTTGACTGTATGTGTTCATTTGTTTCTCTGATAGTCGTGTCGTCTCTGGATCTGCTTCAGCTGTGTGTGTGTGTTTGTGTTACATGGTCTAATTCTAGAATTAACCTGCTGCTTTGTTTTTTTTTCTGATCAACTTCTTGTTATTTCTTAAAAGAATAATTCACTCTAAAGAGAAAATGTGCTGAAAAATCTACTCACCCTCAGGCCACCCAAGATTAGGACGAGTTTGTTTCTTCATGGGAACAGATTTGAAGAAATCTAGCATTCCATCACTTGCTCAAGTCAAGTCAAGTCAAGTCACCTTTATTTATATAGCGCTTTTAACAATACAGATTGTCAAAGCAACTGAACAGCATTATCATTAAGATTTTTTTTACATGTTGCTTCTGGCTAAAATAAGAGTCCTCTATCTATAATAATGCTTCCACATTCTCTAGTGTGAAAGTCATCTCGTCTGAATCAGGAGAGAAATCTGCTCAGATCAAGCACCGTTTACAAGTAAAAACAGTCCAAAACAGATTTAAATAAATATGTTGGTGGATTTTGAGAGGACAAGAGGATGGACTTTTTTTACTGGAGGAAACATTATTATGGATTATGGACTCCTATTATGACCTGAAGCAAGTTTAAACACTTTTATACAAACTGGATTTGTTTCTTAAAAACATGCAGCTTTTGGCTTCACAAGACATTAACTGATGGACTGGAGTGGTGTGGATTACTTGTGAATTATTGTGATGTTTTTATCAGCTGTTTGAACTCTCATTCTGACGGCACCCATTCACTGCAGAGCATCCATTGGTGAGCAAGTGATGAAATGCTGCATTTCTACAAATCTGTTCTAATGAAGAAATAAACAAATCTACATCTTAGATGGTCAGAGGGCGAGTAAATTTTCAGCAAATCTTAATTTTTTGAGAGAACTACTCTTTGAAGGAAATGCTCAACGTTCAGTAGAAGTTTTCGATCATCACACAAAATAATTTTAATCTCTCAAGTCAGCAACAATGTTTCAGTAATGCACTTCTGTGGGGTACCAGAATAAACAATAAAATGCATTTCGTTTTCAACAGTACAGCCACATGACTTACATGGCACTAGTATATAATAGTCTACTAACCTTGTCTGTGTGAAGTTACATTCAGTTTTCTAACTCCTGTAAAGCTGCTAAACCCTGTAACTTTTGCACGACACACACAAGGAGAGTTCCCAAGTGCATTACTGTAAACTACTTTTTGCTTGTTTTTACAAATTTGGAGACAGAATTATACAGTTTAACCTGTATTAAATCTGGAAAATTCCTTTGATACTGTACAGCATCAGTAATGATTTCCCAATGTTCATTTCACTTCTTTCTCTGCTTAGTTCCCAAGGATGTTTCCACCCGTGAGAAATACCATTTTTGTCAGCCATACAGACGTTCAATTCACTTCAAGTGAAAATGTGGAATTGTTTACATAATTTGGAATGTCATCAAATAGACAAAACAACAGCGCTGAAAATGCAACTGGCTCTTGGCTCATGATGTTTTCAACCTAATGTTTTAAGAAAAAAATCCATTTGTGTGCACTTTGACAAAGATGGTAAAAAACAGACCTTTAGTTAATAAATAGACAATTTTAATGCTTTTCTTGTGCCTAAAATGTTTTATAAAAACTGCAAAAAATTAACAAAATGTAGCTAGTATAGACTCAACATTTAACATTTTATTGATTGATAAAACAGTCAATAATACAGTATTTTCATCCTTGTGGTGTGATGGCTGATGGATGTGTGATGTTTACTTCGTGTAATAACTTGTGAGAGTGCATTTAAAGTGTTTCTTATTACACAATGTTCTTTTTTAATTAATAAAAGTCTTTAAAATGCACTAAATTGCCACTTTTTTAACACTGGACACGCATGTTATGAGATGCTACAATTATTGAGACTTATTTTAAGTGGTAAAAAGGTGACTTTTTTTTATTTTTATTTTTTTAAAATCTGAAGTCAACATGAAATCAAAATTGACTATTTACTTTCTTAATACATATTTCTGGTCTTACTGTGACAAACATGCTCCAAATACTGCCTGCAAATACATTTACAACATGTACACAAGCCAGAGTCAAACTGTTTTTGACTAAATGGATGTTGCATGTTCATATTGAAAACACTCTCTTTGCATTATTGCAAAAGCTGTTTGCAACTTACACTGGTAGCTGATACCTCAGAGTATGTCACTGCAATACTTGCAAAGCCTATAAAGACTCTCTGTGAGTAATGCGGTGTCAGTCATAAAATACTGCAAAACCTCTGTGCCTATGGTCTTGATTTTACATGAACGTATTGATCAATTATAGCATAAATAGCACAGTCTGGGCCTTCATGACACAAGTAAACTGTCCGTTACACTCTTTAAACCTACTTACTTGAGTCAACGTAAGACCGAGGTTTCCTTTTCCTCTAATAGCAGCACATAGATTTACTGGCCTTTAAGGTCAGAGGTCACTGAGACTGAGATCTGGAGGACTGTCTGAAACTCTGTCCACACCTTCAGCATCATTGCCAAGGTTACCATCAAGCCCACTTCCATCGTCGCTGAGGTCACTTCCTGTAAGGTCTGAATTTAAACGGACACGCCGGCGCCTCCTCCTGGTTTGTGGCTCTAAAATCAATGAGAAAAATGGGTAATTGTTAGTGTGAACCACTAGGGTGGGTTATCCAAACATACTAAAAAAAAAATTTAAAAAAAAAGGAGAATAAATATTATTTAAGTAAAAGTACCCTCCTCTCATTAGGGTTATTAATGTTAATTAAAACATTAAATATTTAATATAATATTTTAAAATACTCCTTGAAATAAATAGAAAAAAATTAACACATATATATACAGTGGGTACGGAAAGTATTCAGACCCCCTTAAATTTTTCACTCTTCGTTATATTGCAGCCATTTGCTAAAATCATTCAAAAAAAAAAAAAAAAAGTATTACAATTTTAACTGAAATTAAAATGAAAACAGAAAATACAAAAATTAAATCTAGTTCAAATTAACAAAAAACTACAATAGTATATCAATGACAAACATTTGATTGCACTGGTTTCTGTTCATTTCTCCTGAGCTGAATGTTGACAGTGATTTTGAAGACATTAGTCATGCTCATTTAACTCAAATTCTCTGTCAGTCACACTGATGGAGCCCCGAATATGAACCTCATAACCTCAAATCCATCCACATTTCATCACAATCATTTCTCCTTTTTCACTTCTCAAGAAAAATGCTTTACTTGGCACTCTAAATGAGGACATACATTTTAGCTTTTATTTTTAGACTAAATTTAATTAAAAAAATATTTTAGCATTTTAAATAAAAAATAAAAAAATGTATATAATTTTACAATATTATTTAACAATACATGTTAAATAAAAAATGAAACTAAAACGTGTGTGTATATATATATATATATATATATATACACACACAGTATATATATGTAATTTGTTTACAAGCAGATCTGAAAAAAAGTCTGCTAACTAATTTTTTATTTAGATTTTACAGTAAAAATAATCTATGCATGAGATTCACTCTTCAGTGCATGTGTATCTGGTGTCAGTGTCTGGTGTGCTTATGCATGCATGCATGTGTCACCTGGTTCTTCCAGCCATGATGCATCCAACTCATCTGAGCTGATCTCACCCAGACTGGGGGTGGGACTGAAATCATCCTCCGACCCTGACGACACACGTCTCTGGGGCCTCGTCTTCCCGGTTACCACTGCTACCACACAGGAGCAAGAGAAACATGAAAGGAGGATAACTGTGCAGAAATCTTACAGGCACAGCAGCCAAAAACAGCTGGTTTGATTCTACAGGTCACAGAGAGGCTAAACGACTAACGTTAGAAAAGGCTTTGAAGGGGAAAACAAGAGAAGCATGATCAGACCCTTTCACAGCTGCGTCTCACCTGGTTTCTGTGGTAGCGGTGCAGGCGTGGGGAGGGTTTCTCTCAGGACGAGACCTCGCACCTCGTCCTTCAGCTCTGAGACGGTGACTCTAAAACACACACAGAAAATAAAGCGCCCTCCTTTAGTCAAGATTATTAGCGTTAACAAAAACTAAAAGCATTAAAAACCTTTTCATTACTTAAGAAAATAAACACTAATTGACATAAATTGTGCTGTTTAGTTTGCATAATTTAAAGGTGTTCCTTTTTACACATTGTTCTTTTTTAATTAATAGTCAGGTTTGCACGCGCGACCAAAATAAAAAATGCGCTGGGTAAATAAGTTCAGACCGCTCATTTGTGCACCGAAATGGTTGACAGCTATTAATGCACAATCACATTTTTATTATTTAATTCAAAAATAACTAAAAGTGCAATAATACTATTATTAATTATTTGATTTTTTATACTTATATTTAATGGGTCGCACTATGTGCAGTGTGAGCAATAAAAACCCAAACTCCAGGTGCTCTCATGACAACCAGACTGAAAACCTTATGTGCACTCGTTAATAATGAATTCATAGTATAGTAAAGATACACACTAAATCAGTGCTTCTCAAACTTTTTACAGCGGCGTACCCCCTCTCTTCCACTTAGACTGCAGTCACACCTTTTCTATTGAAGGACAATATTACCCCAGTTTGAGAACCACTGCACTAAATGATGTCACTTTTTGAAATTTGGCTCACAACACTGGAAACATGAGTTATGAAATGCTACAATTATTGGGATGAAATCAAAATTGGCAATTTACTTTAATACACATACTGTGACTGACTCAACAATGCATTTTGTTCTAAAAACAAAAATAAACATTTATGTAAACATGCTCCAAATACTGACTTTGAATACATTTAAAATGCACACAAACCAGAGTCAAAATATTTTGGACTGTCTGGACATTGTTGCATTACCATATTCAAAACACATGTTCTGCATTATTTTAAATAATACGATTATTACTATTATTTCAATAATTTTTTCTCAACTAAAACATAATACAATATTTATTATTTACTCTACTTATTTACTAAATATTTATTTGCCAAAGCAGAATTTCTCGTTTTTCGAGTTTACTGCTAAAATAACAAAAACTAAATAAAACACTGTAACAAAATCTATACAGACACATTAAAACTAATAAAACCGAAGAGCACAAAAACTTTAAATGATTAAAAACAG